TACCTGGGCATTGACGTGCGCATTTGAGGGAACCGGCCACCACCACAGTCCATGGGAAACCATGTTAACTTCACTCAAAATGTATTAAAATCACCTCCATTCCTTCCCACTTTCTTTCTCTCGTTTCAATCAAGATGAGCTTTTGAGAGCAACGACGAGAGAGCCATGGTCTGGGGTCATCTTCTGCCCTGAGACCCTCACGCCCTGAGGGGTCGCTCCTGTGTGGACCACCCGAATTAAACGTGTCACCTGAGCCACGTGGCTGATGAAAGTGCCACCCTCTAGAAATTTCGAGTAAGAATCACTCAAAACATAGGCCAATTACAAAGGGAGAGTTTTATGCAATACGCAGGCTAGCCAACGTCGCGGGAATATACACACCAAGAATAATTTTCTAATTTTTAAAATTGTTTTGACATCATAGCAACATAAAATTGAGAAAAGTGTCAAGTGTGTTTAATGCTCTGTTACCGTATTTTTAATGTTCGGTTACCGTCTGTCACGCATCCCGCGTCCGTTCTCCCAAATGCCCGCCAGGAAGTCTGTCGAGGACGCCAACCTCCTGCAGGGAGAGGCCCACCGCGTGGACAGAAAGGGGAGTCAAGCCGTATAGGGTTTGGGGAGCAGGCTGCAGCGGTGACGGCAGATGCTTCAGGTGGGGAGGTGGTGGGACCTGAGCAGGATTCCTTACAATACTCACTGCAAACGGTCCCGCCTGCTCTCCTCCTCACGCGGGTCTGTTGTTGTCTTTGGACGTAGAGCTCATCGCCTTCTTAGTATCGCATCATTTCCCACCCAGTGTGGGACTTCTGCTGTCTCTCTCCCCCTTAGGACGCAAGCTCCGAGGGGGGCTTGTGTCTGTTTCCACTTTCCTACTAACGCGACCCAGGCGCCTGAGCGGTGCCTGGCAGAGTGGGTGCCCTGTGGTTGCCTGTTGAGTGGTGTAGTCTCTTCTACTGATGGCCATTCCAGATGTTTCCTTCTACTGCGGCCATGATTACAGCAGCTGTTGCAGGAACTGCTCTGCACACATCCCCTGTGTAACTGTAAGTTTCTCTCCGATGCACACCTGCAAGGGGATTGCTGGGTGCAAGGCGGCCAGCTTTAAGGTGCTTTCGAACTGGTTTGGGAAGTCTCGGATCCATTCTGCGTCGGCCATGGAAAAGCATTCCTTTATAGACATGCAGAAATACCTGTTGGCAGAGAGCAGTGAGGAAGATAAGCTGGCCCCAGCCAGTTTGGCTCAGTGGATAGAGCGTCGGCCTGTGGACCAAAGGGTTCCAGGTTCAATTCTGGACCTTGGTTGCAGGCTGGTTGCAGGCTCCTCCCCGGCCCAGGCCCTGGTCAGGGCTTGTGTAAGAGGCAACCAATCGATGGATGTTTCTCTCTGTCTTTCCCTCTCTCTTCCACTCTCCCTAAAAATCAATGGAAAAATATCCTCTGGTGAGGATTAAAAACAAAAATAAATAAATAAAGATAAGCTGGATCTTATTTATCAGAGTGATAATGCCTGGATGTGATTGTGTCGAGTCCCACTGCTGACTTTGAATGCGGTTACTCAGCCAAGAGGCGGTCGTGAATTTTCCATGGATTCTCTCAACGCCTGACTCTCAGCCTAACTCAGAAGTGTCTCTTCAGCTCAGGGAACGGAGCCCCGGTCCGCCCGGCGGCACTCAGTGGCAGGAGCCCACCCGGCCACTCGCAGAGCCGGCCTGCAGCTATGCCCGCCCGGCGTGTGCTTCGAGGCAGCTGTTCCGTGTGCGGCCGCATTGTCTTTGATCACATGGAATCATCACTTATTTTCTCTGCCTTTTTCATCCTTAGCCAGCTTCCTTTTCCAAGCTGTACTTAAAGGGGAGCTAGAAGGTAGCTGTCATTGTCAGGCCTGCAGGAGGGACCCTAAGCTGTGCCCCAAAGAGGAATAACCCTCCGAGCACTTCACACCCAACAGCAGCAAGCTGCACCCTGTGACGGCGTGGGTCCTGCGCCAGTCCCAGCAGCACATCAGAGAGCTGAGCTCCGTTGCCATGATCACCCCAGGCCTGGTGCTCACGGTGTTCCGTTGAACCCCAAGGACATCACACATGCCCCTGTAAAGATTTGCCAGGAAATTAAAAGGAAAAATAGTCACTGAAGACTCATGTGGTTTTTAACGCTTTTTATTGGAATATATTTTCCAAATGAGCCTCCCCTACTTCACAGGGCGGCTATTGGGAAAGTTCCGCTAAAGCTTTCTGAAGAAGTTGGTTGAGTGAACCCCCCAGAGGTGTGGGGTTTAGTCTCTCTCGGTGCCTTCGTGGGCAGGACCCACCTCTTGCAGCACATTCTCATGAGGAGGTTCCAGTTAGATCGTGACAGTCTCCGTGGCGAGGGAACAGGATAAAAGCCCATGTTGGTTACAGACGCCGAAATGAAATCCCGGCTTCAAAGTTACCCTTTAAAAAAATAAGAGTCCATTCTGGCGTCATGTGTTTTTTTTTAAATAAACATTTTAATTCACTTTTAATGCCAAACAGGCAACTTACCTTTATTTCAGGGAGCTCGGATTTTAGGAAGCCGGTACAAAAGATGAGAAAGGCGTTTCATAACTGGGGGGCGAAGGGGAGGTAAAACAATGGAATAGTGTGTCGTCAGGATAAGTCCAGAGAGAGATGCAATTCTAATTTAAGTGGCCAAAGGCAACTAAACAGGCTTTTAAAACTGGGCAAGGACAAGAAAAATAAGGGAATAACAGGAAGAGAAGGGTCCTCGCGGAAGAAGAAAGCACAGTGTTAGCAGGCGACGAGGCCCCCGGCTCCTGTTTTCCTGGCAAAGAGAACATTTCCCACGTCAGAGAGGACAGAACAAGAGATTTCAGGAGGAACTTACACTAAAGAAAAGTGAGGACAGAACCAGGACCCCTTCCCTAAGTGTTTGGACAGACACTTCCTGAGCATCATCCCAGAGGCTCTGCCGGGATCTGTGAGACGCCAGAGAGAAAGACTTGGATTTTTTTTTAACTTTTCAAAATGGGATCTAGAGGTAGAATTTCGAGGTGGGACGTGGCTTACTCAGCTCTGCCAGCTGGTTCATTTACAACCTGCGTGACCAAGGTGAGTCACCTTGAGTATGACAGAGCGGCTGCAAGTAGGAAACAGCCCATTCTCCTCCCTTCCAATCCCCCTCCCGCCCCCCCATCCCCAACGAAAACCAGGTCAGCCCTGGTTAAACGGAATCGCGCCTCATCAGTTCTTCCCTGTGACATCTTTGTGGAATATTTGCTTTTGGCCGCAGCTTGTTTGCCATGCGCATCCCTCTGTTGACTGTGTACCCAAGCGATGCCCTTCTGTGTGTTCTGGCTGACCCAGTGGCGGAGCAGAAGGCATGGGAAGTGGTGACTAACTGGCCCTTTAATCCGAAATTTGAGTTCGTTTCCCTTTTGCATGTTTGGATAAGTGGATGTGTTTGGGGGTCTTGGCTCAAGTTATTTTCATTATTGCCCCAAAGGGTGCAATTTGAATGGCCAGTGAGATTTAAAACAAACAAAAAAACAAAAACAAAAACAAAAAACAACCTTCCAGCTAGTTTGATGGTAAAAATATGTCATAAAGCTTTATGATAATCAAATAAAAATATCAGATTGCTTATTAATCACTTTAGATTACTGTAGTGAATAAAGGAATAAATAAGTTAATAAAAAGACAGCAAACTTAAAGCCCTAAATGTATACTATCCATACTTTTCTGGGAATATATGACCTGATGATATGTATAAATGCATATAGTATACAGGGGTGCGCAAAAGTAGGTTTACATAATACAAATAAATAACACAACAATTAGTAAATAAGAATTGAAGAATAAACTCCTTTCATATACTCACAGCTGTAAGGCTACTTCCTCCCACCCCTGTACATACATTTATACATCCATCTCCATAGGCACGTGCAGTGGGGCCTTGACTTACGAGTGTCCCAACTAACGAGTTTTTCGAGATACGAGCCGTCTCTTGGCCGATTTTTTGCTTTGAGTTGCGAGCTAAAATTCGGGTTATGAGCCAGCTTCAGACACCCCACCGCTAGTTGGCGCAGCGAATGTCACAGTGAATGCCACAACATCAGCCCAGCATCACGTGTCTCACTCGTTCACTTTTTGATTTGACATAAGAGTAATTTGAGTTACGAGCTTCTTCACGGAACGAATTAAACTCGTAAGTCAAGGCCCCACTGTACTTGATAGTCTGTTGTCCCTCAGCATGTTGTCACAACAAGTCTCAGTTATTTAGTTGCATCCTGGGCTGCTTTAACTAAATTGGCCTCTAAAATCTTGGGGGTTGGGGGAATAAATGGTATTTCTGGGACACCAGCAGAGCAGCCATCCCAGGCCCCGTCTCACAGGTACTCCCACGTCTCACAGGTACTCCCACGTCTCACAGGTACTCCCACGTCTCACAGGTACTCCCACACTCCAGAGACTGGAACCCTCTCTGCCTGTTCTTCTCTCATTCGTGTCACAACCTAAAAGGTGACTCCTTGCTCCCAAAGACAGCTGAGCCCCAGGAACCGATGCGAGGCTGTGTCTCCACCGCCGTCTTTGGTTGAATCGCAGGCAACCAAGTGACCCAGAACCTCACCCTCATTGAGCCGATGGTCACCTGAGTCGCCACTCTGAACCGAGCCACTGCCCCGCAGGCCTCCGTGGGAGGAGCTCGGCCGAGTGGTCTTCTCACGTCAAGCATCGAGCTCTCGTCTCCATAGTCTCGGACGTGCCTGATGCCATTAATTTACGCTTTTCACCAAAACCCTTCCCTCAGGATGTCCATTCATTTTAGTGTCTGTTGTCAGGGGTGACCATCACCTGGTCCTACTTGTGAGCTACTCTCCCAGAGCATGAGATGCTATGATAAGCAAGGGCTATATCCAGTCGCTTAAAGAGGAAGACCATGTCCCACATGACCCAACATTTAGAATTGGAGCCGACCCCATCCGATTCCTGTTTGTCACTGATTTCTCTCTCCAACAGCCGGCTGCCCCGACTCCTTGATCAAAGAGCTCCATCACTTCAGGGTCCTCGGGGAAGAGCAGGTGAGTGAGCATCGCCGAGGCCCCACACCGTGTCGCGAAGACTCGCTAAGGAGGTGGCCTGGGCTCCCCCAGGGGGCGGGGTGTCTCCTGACCCCGGTTGCCCGAAATGGGGGGAAGTGCCCTGGGGGTCTGTTTGAGGACACTCCTCCCCTGTCCGACCCACCAGGCCAGACAGGTCATTGATTGGCACACCTGCTGTCCACCAGAGAGAAAGAGAGAGAGAGAGAGAGAAATGTTGATGTGAGAGAGACACATCTATTGGCTGCCTCCCACATGCGCCCTGACCAGGATCAGGGATCAAACCTGCAACCCAGGCACATGCCCTTGACTGGGAATCCAGCTCTCGCCCGTCCCGTGCACAGGCCGACTCTCTAACCACTGAACCACTCCGGCCAGGGCTGTGTGTGCTTTTTCATCATCCAAAATCACCAGATCCATCAGTTACAGTATTTCTCTTTCTGTAGAAAAGGAACCAAGTGTGCCACAACCAGAACGAGTGTGGTAGAGGCATCTCCGAGCAGTTCTGTAGCTAATGCACAGGGAGGCCATGGGCGCACACGCCCGCCGGTACCCAAGACCCCCAGGGAGGAGGCGCAGGGATCCCTAAGGCGCTGGCGGACTTCGTCCCTGGCTTAGCGACTTCCTGGCGGAAAGCGGTGGTCGCAGCAGAAAAATATGCTTCACTAAATTAAATAGATAATCTGCCATCAAATCAGAAAATAGCCAATTACGGGAGAACAATCTGTTTAAAATAGAAAAGTAATGTTGCAGGTGACACCATCCCGCATCATACTGGTATTGAGTCCCTCGGCATTGATAGTTGAGGGACACTCAGAGTTCCTCCTTCATGGACAGCGTTCCTCCGTTCCCCCTGCGGCCATGTGCACCAGCTACGGGCGGACAGCGGGCTGCGTTCAGGACACAGACACGGGAATGGAGGGCGTGCGAAGGGTGCGCAGGGCAGTCTGAGGGGCTGGCCCACCTGACCCTCACTCTGCAGCTTCTCGCAGACAGCCCGCGACACAGCAGCCACCTCCTCCCCTGTTGCCCGGCACACTCCCTGCCCTTCTCGGCATGTTGGGTGCACTCGGGGCAGATTTAGTGAAGGGTCCCTGAGGAGGTCAGGGCGTGATCGCCAGCATGAAATCTCCCGATTATATAAACGCCTCCTCACTCTGCACTTGAAATATCTCATGTCATCCCTGATCATTGCATAGCTCGTGACATGTAGCAGACCTTTTCCCAGGAATCCACACGCTCCAGTTTGCTCACCTAAGTAACCTCGACCTCCTAGCCCCTCATTAACACTGACTCCCCCTCCTGTCTCCCCACCGCTCCTTCTGCTCCAGCGCCGGCCTGCTCACCCGCCCCTCAGAGGACCCGGCAGGGTCCTCGGCCTTTGTACCAGCGATGGCCTTCCCCAGGGCCGCGTGGCTTTTCTCATCTCCCAGCCTCGGTGGTGCTCGCTGAGCCTGGTCTGTGGGCGTCCTCATTCCCCGCTCACTCTACACTGCGATCGTCTGCCAGGACTCGCTCTCCTCTGTGTTTATTCTCCTTCCCACGCGTCTCCATCGGAGCCCTTGCCCTTTAATCTCAGAATTTATTGTCCGTCCAGTGGACCAGCAGGGGCGTCTGTCCTGCTCGCTGCTGAGTCCCCAGCGCCACGGTCCTGCCCGGCCCAGGCAGCTTCCCTCAACGCCGCCTAAACCCATTCCCAGTTGAGCACACGCATGCGGCTTGCTCCCCGTGTCGGGAGACCACGATCCAACGTGCAAGGACAGCACGTTAGAGCTGCTGCCGGGGAGGCCTGGCCTGGGCGCTGGGGCCCGGGCGTTGCTCTGCCGGCTGGGGCCGCCCCGGGGCCTGAGCCACCAGCCGCCCAGGAGGTCGGGGTGGGGGCGGGGACGAGGAAGGGACCCCTGTGCTCTCCGGGCCTGTGTGCACCGCAGCCCCAACACCCAGAGGACCCCGGGAGGAGGCGGAACTGCCCCTCTCAGGGGAGGCTGGGTGCGTGGTGAGTGCCGTGGTGCCGGCGTGTCTGCCAGAACGTGTATAAACTACCACCATCGCATGGAGTCGGTGGGAGCAGTGTTTACAGATAAACAAACTGTGCAACATGCTTCTGAGGACACGTTTCCAGAAGCACCGAGAACAAGCCCCTCACCTGTTGTGCCAGGGGCGGCTGGGGGCCGGGCTGCGGGCCGCAACGTCGGCCTCTGCGTTTCTCACTGAGACGGGCAGCGCGGGTCCATCACATGGCCTCAGCACCTCACTGTGTGTGTGTGTGTCTGTGTGTGTGTCTGTGTCTATGTGTGTGTGAAGTTGGGGGACGGTCCTCAGCACCTCACTGTGTGTGTGTGTCTGTGTGTGTGTCTGTGTGTCTGTGTGTGTGTCTCTGTGTGTGAGTGTGTGTCTGTGTGTGTGTCTGTGTGTCTGTGTGTGTGTCTCTGTGTGTGAGTGTGTGTCTGTGTGTGTGTCTGTGTGTGTGTGAAGTTGGGGGAGTGTCCTCAGCACCTCACTGTGTGTGTGTGTGTGTGTGTGTGTGTGTGTGAAGTTGGGGTAGGGCCCTCAGCACCTCACTGTGTGTGTGTGTGTGTGTGTGTGTGTGTGTGTGTGTGAAGTTGGGGTAGGGCCCTCAGCACCTCACTGTGTGTGTGTGTGTGTGTGTGTGTGAAGTTGGGGGAGGGTCCTCAGCACCTCACTGTGTGTGTGTGTGTGTGTGTGTGTGAAGTTGGGGTAGGGCCCTCAGCACCTCACTGTGTGTGTGTGTGTGTGTGTGT